TGCATACAGGATTTGAACTCGAGATATTTAAAGCGATGCGATACTTAAAATTGTGATTTTTACGATAATTTGAATAATAAAATGTCAAATTGAGAATTTAGTGATGTTGATAAAAGTACATAACTAACAAAATCGTTTTATTAAAAAAGAGTGTACCAATTTTAATGATATTTTTTATATCACTGATATGAATTTAATATGAATATATATATATATCTATATATATATCTAAAATAAAATTGCATATATACTAGCGAAAAAAAACAATACATCCTTATAATTCGGTGGACTCATTTTAACACAAAATAGTGAAGGAAAGAATGCAATGTGCTAACAATTACAAAGAAGTGAATGGTAATCTTTTAAAGGTCGATTTGGTACTTCGATGTACGCATATGTGTGTGCTGTACCCAAACTCAGACTCACATTATAACAAACCGACGCTTTACTTAATAATTAATGGCATATGACCCCTTAAAATGCATTTATACCCTCAAGTACGTGATTGTAATTTACATACCTTTTATATTTGGAACAACGAAAATTAACGTTAGCATCCACACTTTGTCGTTGTATGATAATTCTAGTTTGCATTGATGGTTGGGAAGTAATCGACAATAAGGTATAACCATAAAACGAAAAAAATTCGTGATTATTTAATCCTTCAAAATTGTATCAAATTGGCAACAAATTTGACCATGTCGGCTACTGTCATATAAGTTACTCAAATTGCGCTCTCATTAACTTGAATCACGCCATGGGAAAATAAGAGTTAGAAAACCTACTCTTTCTCTCTCTCAAAAAAAACTCACTGTTAGAGCACCTTTAGAAACATATCAATTAATGTACTATAATATATTCCAAAACACTATTACAGGTGCTATTTCATTTTCAAGATGGCAAACGTGTAATTGCCCATTTTCGAAATAACAAAGACGTTACTCTATTATACTAAGAGCTATTTAAGGACAAGCAGTGATAGTATTTACACACTCGAAAATATATACTGACACTTATTCACTCCACAGGTATAAAAGGAAAATAATTTTATCAAATACAAATCATGTGAAATTCTGAAATTTCATAGAATGTAATTTTTTTTTATTATTTATTTTTCGTTATGTTATATAAAGGGCGGCACGTAGAACGAAAACATTAATTTTTAATAATGAGGTTTTGGAGTGAAGCGCTCAATATTGCGATGAAAGAACAAGTTCCACAAACAAACGCAATTTTATCCGCAAGAAAAAAGCGGTGAAAGCGGCAGAAAAAGAAGCAACCTCATGTATTATTCATAAAAAAGAGACAGGACGCTCGTGGACACTTTGTCCCCCTTTCAGCCGGTTATTAACGACAATTCAGCGTGAATAAAGTTTTTCTTTTTCATTAATATGATAGCAATTCAGTAAAATCAAGTAACATTACAAAGAATTCTTAAAGTATATTATGGTATTGTTTTATATATCATAGAAGGCTTTTTATACGACAAATCACGACCGCTTGTCTAGCTAACAATCCATTTAGAAAATAGAAATAACTTGAATGTTTGGTTTCCAAATGCGTGTGCGTTATTGTGAACAAGTAAACGAGAATATCGGTCAGTGGCCGAAGACTTATCGATCGAAAGTTAGGGGATCCCCCAAAACAGCGCTTTTACTCCATAGTGACACCTTGTGTCCCATCACTAACTAAATAGTAACTCGCTAATTATACGACAAAATTCATCCAAAATCAATAGGCTTCTGGTCCGACGTATGATGAATGCACATGCAAAATCTAGAGCAGATTCAATCTTGTTTTCGTGAGATATCGCGTGCATCTAGCAAACAGACAGACAAACAGACAGACAGACAAATCAAAGTATATTTCGATGAAAGACTCATAAAAGTAAACCTACCGTATTTTTCTTTCTGTCTTTATTACTTATTTTTCTATATCACTTCTGTAATTAGGGAATTAACAACTTAATAAATATTGAATTATTAATTAATTAATTCTATTAGCATTACTTTCCCGGGTCCATCTTGTGCACGAGAGAAATACACTATAAATACACTATACACTATAAAATCGCCAAATTTTGAATATAAAATAGTGCTTTAGCAATATTAAAAACAACGAATTTAGTACGTGGCCCAGGTACTTCTATACTTGGTATTTGGGCTCACCAACGACATATTAAGAATGAATATTTTCTCATTTCAACTTATTTACCTCATGGCAAGAGTCATGTTACGGTTGTTTAACAAAGTTACATGCATGGTTTCTATTTCGAACTGCACTTTGATAAAAATGAGCCAACTATACAAAATTTATTAATTCGTTCGTTAACAAAATTAAACAATTTCATAACCTATCATATCTGCAATGAAATTGCTATAGATTGTCTACGGGAAGGTAAAGTCACGACGCAATTTTCTTCTTATAACCTGTATTTTAGTCATATTTGTAAGACGTTTTTGCTGAAATTTGACTGCGAAACCCCACAAAAGAAAATATTAACGCAGTCTGAAGCTATTAGGAACTTGGTGAAATTTTCTGTGAACATTATTTTGTAATTGTTCTGCGTTTGTTAGCTTTTACACAGCAGGGACAAAAAATGCCATGAGTCGCCTAATTGGAACAACGAGTGGATGCTGCACATTGAAAAGTCGTTGTTTACTATTTGTAATTTTTATTTGAATATTTACACAAATATTCAATAAAGTGATTATGTCTTAATTCTACATAAAAAACCAACATCATGCTGCATGGAAAAGCACAACACTTGATGACAATTTCAAATGAAGAATTACAGCGCATTGGGTCAAGTATTATCAAACGTACTTTTTTGTGGATAGGTTTAATTTGATTTTTGCTAGTCTATATAATTAGTAAAGGTTTATAAAGCTTTGAAAATAAAAGTTAGAATATTATGACCAAAACACACTTTTTACCCGCCATTGTGACGCCAAATATGAAATTATCAGTGATTCATCAGTAAAAACAAGTTAGACTAGAGCTGCGTGCAGCTTTAACAGGCTTCCCGCGTGAAAAAAACTGAAGACGCGTTTTGCTCACTGGAGCGTGAAAGCGTGATCAGTCATGCATAAAATTTGCAATTTATGATGGGGGACTTATTATCTGCATGTAATTTAAATTTCAAGTGCCTAAGTAGTGTCGTTCTCGAGAAGAAGATGAAAATGTGAAATCTTATATTGCTCACTGGAGCGTATCGCCGAGGTCACTCATGCGTATCCTTGACATATCGTATCCGGAACATGTCCATTAATCATTGTTATGAATTTCAACCCAATAGCATGTATCAATTTTGAGAAATCGCAATAAAACTGAAAACGCGTTTTGCTCACTGGAGCGTGAAAGCGTGGTCAGTCATGCATAAAATTTGCAAACCATGATGAGGGACTTATTGTCTGCATGTGATGTAAATTTCGAGTCTCTAAGTAGTGTCGTTCTCGAGGAGAAGATGAAAATGTAAAATCCTATATTGCTCACTGGAGCGTATCGCCGAGATCACTCATGCGTATCCTTGACATATTGTATCCGGAACATGTCCATTAATCATTGTTATGAATTTCAACCCAATACCATGTATCAATTTTGAGAAATCGCAAAAAAACTGAATACGCGTTTTGCTCATTGGAGCGTGAAAGCGTGGTCAGTCATGCATAAAATTTGCATTTTATTGCTAGCTGAGAACTTCTGCACATTTGAGGTGAATTTCAAGTTTTTAGGACCAATTTGAAAAAAAAATAATAATAATAATAAATAAATAATAATAATAACTAGAGCTGCGTGCAGCTTTAACAGGCTTCCCGCGTAAAAAAAAACTGAAGACGCGTTTTGCTCACTGGAGCGTGAAAGCCTGGTCAGTCATGCATAAAATTCGCAAATTATGATGGGGGACTTATTATCTGCAAGTGATGTAAATTTCAAGTCTCTAAGTAGTGTCGTTCTCAAGAAGAAGATGAAAATGTGAAATCCTATATTGCTCACTGGAGCGTATCGCCGAGGTCACTCATGCGTATCCTTGACATATCGTATCCGGAACATGTCCATTAATCATTGTTATGAATTTCAACCCAATAGCATGTATCAATTTTGAGAAATCGCAAAAAAACTGAAGACGCGTTTTGCTCACTGGAGCGTGAAAGCGTGGTCAGTCATGCATAAAATTTGCAATTTATGATGGAGGACTTAATATCTGCATGTGATGTAAATTTCAAGTCTCTAAGTAGTGTCGTTCTCGAGAAGGAGATGAAAATGTAAAATCCTATATTGCTCACTGGAGCGTATCGCCGAGGTCACTCATGCGTATCCTTGACATATCGTATCCGGAACATGTACATTAATCATTGGTATGAATTTCAACCCAATAGCATATATCAATTTTGAGAAATTGCAAAAAAACTGAAAACGCGTTTTGCTCACTGGAGCGTGAAAGCGTGGTCAGTCATGCATAAAATTTGCAATTTATGATGGAGGTCCTAATATCTGCATGTGATGTAAATTTCAAGTCTCTAAGTAGTGTCGTTCTCGAGAAGAAGATGAAAATGTAAAATCCTATATTGCTCACTGGAGCGTATCGCTGAGGTCACTCATGCGTATCCTTGACATATTGTATCCGAAAAATGTCTATTAATCATTGCTATGAATTTCAACCCAATAGCATGTATCAATTTTGAGAAATCGCAAAAAAACTGAAAACGCGTTTTGCTCACTGGAGCGTGAAAGCGTGGTCAGTCATGCATAAAATTTGCATTTTATTGCTAGCTGAGAACTTCTGCACATTTGAGGTGAATTTCAAGTTTGTAGGACCAATTTGAAAAAAAAATAATAAAAATAAATAATAATAATAATAATAAATAATAATAATAAAACACAGGAATACAATAGGTTCCCTGCTGACAAGCAGCGGGAAGCCTAATAAAACACAGGAATACAATAGGTTCCCTGCTAACAAGCAGCGGGAAGCCTAATTATCGAATGTAACTGTTTTACGGGCCAGACGTTCCAGTGCTTGGGTTCTTGCTTCTGGCCTTTATTAATTGTGACTGCAGATACCTCGGCCATTTCACAAACGTAGAAAATATAGACGGCCCATCCCCAATTTATATTTTGAAAACTTCATAATACACCTAAATTAAAAATGGAGAATCCTGGAGAGCTAGCAAAACCTTTAAAGAAGTTTAAAACGTGGAAATATCATGTGCCAGCGCGCCAGAACACACACAAAAAAAAATTAGCCCTGAACCCAGCAAGCGTCTTACTGCGAACATATACCCCACAAAAAGCTTGCCAAAAAGCGATTTCATAATATTGAAATAAACCCTAGAACCATTATCATTAGCAAATATTACCTTTATTGTATAGACAAATTATGCATTGTACAAATTCTAATGTAGTCCTGGGTATAGATACGGCAATGGTTTTATACACATAATCTAATTACACTTTAATGTTAATTCCATTTCAGTATTTTAATGCAGTGTTTAAGTGTTGAAATGAGACCGTGAAGCATCGGATACTTTTGAGAGTTCATTACTTTTAATTTTAGATTCGACTGGAAGAGCAGGATACAATATCACTTTATCTGGATAGTTGAAAATGAATGTTTTAACTTTGAAATACCAAGTTGTAGCATTTTTTCCATTTGCTACGTAGAAAAGATCGCCACTTCCAACTGGAGCCGCTATATACAGGTTATTGCAGTTGCATTTTAGATTAACCCCTCCAGAAGATAAACGTCCTCGGAATGTTCTAACAAAATAAATCAAAATAAGTAGGAATTATTAATAAAAAAAATAGAAAAAATTGCATCCAAGCACATGAGCCTATTTGTATTTAAGTGCAAATTAGTTTGGCAATTTAATAAATCTTTATTTTTTCTGATTGCAAACGATAAATATTATGTATCTTTGCGCTGACAATACTATGTTACACATGTCCACCGCACGCTTATGAGTAATTTTTAGTAGATGTAGGGCTTTGGAACGGATAAGTATATGGCCTGCTGTAACTTCTTTTTATATAATACGCTACCTTATTCACTCCCTTTGCTCAGATCAAAGGCTTATTCAACGATATAAAAACGCAATCTTTCCGGTTCGGCATTGCCTACCCCAGGGTGGTCCAAACCCAGGCCCGCGGGCCACATTTGGCACGCCGCCTCATTATCTGTGGCCCGCGTCACATTGGGAAAGTAATCAAAAATGCGGATTCTATTAGCCTAGGATGACTATGTGTTTGCACAATAAAAGTGTTTGTTTTGCAGTCTTTTCCTATTCTTGACACTTATGTGGCCCGTGAACAATGTAAAAATAATTTTGTGGCCCTCGGAGCCGACAACCTTGGACCACCCTGGCCTACCCTATTTAGTACACTATAGATGAGGTAAGGCAGGCATGGAATAAATCTACGAGATGTGTAATAAACGAAGTTTCATTGCAACATAATTTGACTTACGTTGCCTTTCTCCCAAATTGCAGTGAACTGTCTGCATAAAGATCTCCAGCTGCAAATTTAATCGACAAATCGTTTTCGATACTCATCATCCAATCCTGTTTAGCAGACAATTGTTGCGCTTGTATTGGTAGGTGTTCACTAGCTTCCCAAGAGATCCACTTTTGCGAGGAATGAGCTTCTAGAATCTGCACCATAAATTGTGCCAATACGCTGATCGGAAACAAAAAAGAATTTGCATATTTAGCTCCTTTTCTGGTAATATTGTGCGGAAGGAATATTCTAATTACCAAAAAAACATGAGAAAATACAAACCTTTGAATTAGAGTAAACGATGGAGTAATGAGCCACATGATATCTTCGGTTGGATTTTCAGTCGTCACCATATATAATTTCCCACTGGTATGGCGAAGATACCGGTCACGGGACTTTCCGGCACGCAGAAGCATACCATGTCCTGGGTAGATAAGAATAGCGAAAAATCTGCAAAACGATTGGTTATCAATCACTGTATCAAATAAAAAACATTTCTTATTGAATAACATGTCCTGCATATTCCGTTTATATATATAACCCGAGGACTTCGTAACGCAAGATGCGTTCACAAAAAAGTGCACTTGTGCAAAATCATAAAATTAAACACTTTTTTTAGACAAAATCAGACCATGTCAAACCATCTTTTCAGAACAGACGTAAATATAAATCGATTATTGTAAATTTGATTTTAGTCAGCGGGCTGACAATTCGTTATTGACCTATCGGCCCTATGCCGGAGAAACTGATCGTATGAAAGAGGTCAGGTTAATGATATTTCAAGCTCTTAAAAAGGTCTGTGTTACTACTATTAACACCGATTTATATAGAATGCTATTGTTGCAATTGATCGAGGTGTTGCCATTGATATAAGTCTTAAAAAATCTTGCCTCCCTTTTTTATTTTCTCCATTATCTTCATACTGAAGAGTGACGTCATTGTTGTTATCATTATACGTAACGTAAAGCTTCTTTCGGTTGACTGATGAAATGACGTGAAAACTCCATAAAGCTTCATCACCGCGCCTTTCGACTCTCCATTGTTCGAGAACATCTGGACGAAGTTCCACCGGAATATTATCATTCAAAGCTCTATTACTTGAAATCCATTTCCCACCTTCTTTGTCCCCGATTTCTAGGCTAATGTAAGATGAAACTTCACTGTCGGTCTCTCCACTTGTCGAGCTTTCCAAATTTTCAGATGACATTTTATTTTCACCATTAAAGGCCTAAAAACATTTATGATAGTAATTGTGATGCCAGGCAGTTAAAACACAAACCACTACGAAACTGCTAAACACATTAAATCTACATCGTCTATTTGTCGAATCAAGAATGGGAATACACCAATTTGTATATAGCTGGGATACTTGACGATTACTTAGGACAGACAGGAAATTAACTGGTTTCTATCGCGATTCCAGCAAATGCTTCAATTGGAAGACTGACTCATTATTTACTAAAGTTTTCTACCTGAGTCAAGCATCCGGCTTCCGTTATTAAGTGATTCAGAAAATTAAAAAATATCGTTACATTACTCATAATAAAATTACGATACATTGCTACTGTTGACTGGAAACTTCCTTAGCCATTATATGAAGATGGTATAAGTAGAATATCGTTCAAGTTTTACAAATTTTAAAATCGAGTCTTATGATACACGATATTTAACCAGAAATTTAGCTGTTGTATTTCATTTAAAAGGAGCACTTTTTCTGTATCACTTGTTCGTTGATCTTTTCAGCAAACCCATTGGTCTCAGTGCTGATGCGTGATCTTTGTGATCGTATATATTTGTGCATCATCTACGCCATATCGCCAACTATTTACAGGCATTTTTTGTTTTTGTCACAAATTCAGAACAACCTACAAATAAGACACTGACAATGCACCTGTGTTGTTGTTTGAAATGAGATATGTAATTGACAATTCTACAAATAGCCGCAGATGGAGAAAACACATATATATATATATATCATTTCTTGACAAACTTTGACAATAATTTAGTAGAAGACTAGTTTCTCAGACAGCATACTTGTATATTTATATATTTATTTACCAAGACTTTCAAAAAAAGATAATTGGCATATACATATGCTGATGCCAGTGCTGAAACTATATTGCCATTAATATCAACACTATACATGCCATATAGACGTGAACACACTTCCAGAACCTCAAATATAACAATAACAGCCTGGGATGTAACAATAGGACACACGTTTAAGTGGTTTGGTTCTTATTTACAGGGTGGCCCCAAAAATAAATTATAAACTTTCTAATTAGTTTTACGAAAATTAAAAAAATTATTTTACATCTGAACTATTTTACAGTTTGTGTAAATTTTGTGACGGTGTAATTAAACACTAGTTCACATTTGTTGACAAACAAAGATTTTTTAAACTATATCACAATCAAACTATATCATAATATGGCACAATGATGGTTTTGTCTTTGTATTTCAAGACAATTCTTGTTGTCATTATGTCCCAAACAGTAGCATTCTTTTTTCCTGGTAAAAAGTGAAGGTCGCCGCTTCCCTCTGGAGCGACTACGTATTGATTATTAGATTTGCATTTCAAGAGTACTCCACCTCCAGTATCATGCCATGTAAATTCCCTGAAAATAATAAATATGGAATTCAAAAATAGAATTATTAACGTTTCCTTTATAACTGCCAGACTTTCATATGGGCTGGTAAATTTCAACCGTCGTAATACATATTTGGGATTTTGAGTGGGAAACGAATTCGGCACCGACACGAACACGATTGAAGCAGTAGAGTCTTGCTTGAAAATGAGCAAACCTACTGGTTAATTAATATTTGATTGGCCACTGATAGGCGTGCGACAAGATGGGTGGGAGTGCTTCTTTAAGTTCGTACTGCAATTATCGTACTATCTTGTTTTTCGGACGTGAAAGAAGGCAGTTCGCCGTTTACTCTCCGATGGGCGACAGACCGGACAGAAGTTTTGAGTTGAGTGTGTCTGTTTATGCCAGTTTGGATATATTTTAAAGCTATACAAACAGGGTCACAGTGAATATAAACGTGAAGTTTTGCCGATTGCAATGACATTCAAGTAAGAAATGAAACATTTCCGACATATAGGGCTGAGTTCATTTCATCAGTTTCTTTGTACCATAGGTCGTTCCAATATTATACAGATTTTCGTTACAGATTTAGGCATTTTCACTGGTTTAGGTCACCGAGAAAACAGTGCTTTGTCTCGAAAGCACTTTTAACTCGCAGTGGATGAATGATACTTACGCTGGGACTGAGCCAAACAATAGTTGACTTATATTTACTTCTGCATACAAATTTCCGGCTGAAAATTCACAACTCCGACCACTGTCTCTAAAGTTAAGCTGCCATTCCTGCAGAGCGCCGGTTTGTTGTACTTGGATTGGTGCGTTTATTTTTGCATCTTGGTACACCCATTTATTTGCAATGGGATCATTTCGAATTTCTGCGAGACGGGAAAGAGACACACTGTAAAATATGTAAATTAATATTTATTATTCAAATTAATATTTATTGGAAATATTATGAGAATCCCTTATTCAGCAAGCATTCCCATGCCGCACGTTATCAAGGTTCTTGATTATATCAACCTTTAAAAAGTAAATGACGCACGCTGTAATATCTTCGAACGAAGCCGTAATGAACCATTCCATATCATCAGTAAGATTTTTTGATGTTGTCATTTCTAACTTTCCTCCGCTGTTTCGTACGTATCTGTCACGTGAATTTTGAGCCCGCAGAAACATCCCGAAGTTTGGTTTAGGCAGCATATAAAAAAATCTACAAAAATGTAGAGTTATAATGTAAAGAATTTTCTGCAATCTGTTGAGTGCAACCTGAAGTAGTATAAAACGGATGTCTCGGGACTAAAGGCCTTTTTTTCTTTTGAATCATTTAAAACCCCATTTGTAAGAAATGCAATAGAGTGGAATAAAATTTATTTTTAACTCGGAAGCACGCTACTTGGTGAAAAATATAATTGGATGGTCATGAGAAACTATCAAATGTCGGAAAATCTCTATCAAGAGGATTTTCATCTTAGTCCACCGGCGGCAAATAAATAATAGTGATTTATTAATTTGTATCTTAACTTACGGAGGTTCACGCGCCCCCTGGATCCATCAAAATATTTTGGGGGTTCATGAGCTAAGCATGCACATGATAAAAACAAAACAGCGAAATTCATCTATTTTTCTTTGTGGTCTAGCTCTCATAAACGGCAATAAGGTACAACGCAATCAACCAGATTACGAGTTACGAACACATGATCTTGCTCATGTGAACAAACATAGTCATTAGCTTTAAAAACTTATTCAATTTGTCATTTTATCAAGTTCAATAGACGCTTGGCACTTTGTTGTTTTTGTTTTTTCATAAATATTAATTATTCAGAGTATGTTAATGTAGGACAATTGTCTCTACCGACGAAGAGTTGCCTAAATTTTATGGGATAAAATTAGCAGTACAAGACTGCCATGGGATCCATGTGTTAGGTTTTCTGATTATAAGATCAATATACTTGAATAGGGAAATAGAATATGTGAATTAAAGTATAAAATTGTCAAAATTTTGTATGAAATGTCAATAAATCAAAAATATTCCTCGGCTAGGCAAAAATGAACTTACATGGGAAACCCACCCACCTGGAGTTTTGAGATGAAGATTATACTCATGTTTTCAACGAAAATATTAAATCTAAGTTATGCTGACGGGCCAGTCAGTGTGACTAGCGATTGCGTAAGGCATGTTGAATGAAATATTTATAATTTCTATTTTATACTTAAAAAGTGTTAATACATTTATAAATCTGAATTTGCTTTACCTTCCTTTCCCGTTGTTCTGCGTGATGTCATCTAATTCTTCTAGAGTAACGTCATCGCTGTTGAAGTTATATGTGACGTACATCTTTTTCCCGTCATCTAATAAAATGTAAAAACTCCACAAGGCTTCATTTTTTGATCTCTCAAGCTCCCATGCTTCCGTTACGCTGGGATTTAGTTGTACAGGTATATTGTCATGCAAGGATCTATTTTGTGATATCCATTTTTTCCCGTCTCTGTCACCTATTTCAAACTTGAAGTTGATCGGATCGTTATCCTTTGTTGTTCCTGCCCAATGTGATTGCATAATCACAATATTGTTTACACAGATGTACCTACAGATTATGATTTCTGATTAAATAAAAGGTCATATAAAAATAATCATACTAAGCACAAATTTGAACTGTTCTTAACCTCGAGCCCTCTATGGTGTATGTTGCTTTGTACAACTTTAACCCATATAATGCTTTTATTATTCATTTAAAAGCTCAACCGAACTTTGAAAAAAAAAAATTATTATAACGATCGCGATCGACTGATCGCTATCGAATGGGCTGATAACTGCACACACGCATATACACAAAATTCCACCGCTGCCAATAAGAAGGCTTTGTGGGCACATTATTATTAAAATCGACATAAAATTTTTATTTTTTATGTTCCATTTAAGTTGTTGATTTGATCATTTATTTGTACCCGGAGTAAATGTTTCATCATTTATTTAAGCTTTATTGAAATCATACAATGCAGATAAAAGGCGTGCCTAATTTTTAGTCGTTAGAGTTAAAAATTCCTAAAGAAACCTTGCCAGTTATTATCCAAACAGCGAAAAAAAAATTCTCAAATCATGAATGTTACATGACTGCCCAAACTTCAGTATTTAAGTTACAATTTACTCCAAACGCGATTCTTTGCTTGCTTAAAATTAGAACAAATTGGGCATTTTTATGCCACTGCTACCATTGCGAAAAAAATCTATCACACTACTCTTGGAGTGAGACAATAATTTTTGCATACTTTTTTAGCGTGCCGGATATCGCGTGTCTACTGCATACTGCGGAAGTTATTGTAGGATCGTTTGTCAGTCTAGACACGCGATATTCGGCACGTCATTTTTAAACTTTGGCAGAGGAAAAACTGGCATTTGTTACGTTATAATATGCTTTATCGGGCTCGCCCAGACTCAAATACAGTGTATGTGTATTAGAGCTAAGATCTGGAGCCCACCCGACCCGGGTCGGGCCTGAAATGCCAATCATTACGTTGGGGTCGGGCCTGAAATGTCAATTATTACGTTGGGGTCCGGCCTGAAATGTCAATCATTACGTTGGGGTCGGGTCTGAAATGTCAATCATTACGTTGGGGTCGGGCCTGAAATGTCAATCGTTACGTTGGGGTCGGGCCTGAAATGTCAATCATTAAGTTGGGGTCGGGCCTAAAATGCCAATCATTACGTTGGGGTCGGGCCTTAAATGTCAATCATTACGTTGGGGTCGGGCCTGAAATGTCAATCATTACGTTGGGTCGGGCCTGAAATGCCAATCATTACGTTGGGGTCGGGCCTGAAATGTCAATCATTACGTTCGAGTCGGGTCGGGCTTCTCTATCGCTGACTTATTTTGAAATGAATACCTAAACTATGCGTGGATACTAAACAAAGGAATATATACTTGTTATAAATGAAATAATTTGAATAAAACAGAGAAGAAGCTGTAATGGACCTTTCCCCGACTTTGACCTCGAAAATATTCTTCCTACACCATACCCGGCTCGGGTCGGCGAATTCAGTTAATTGGTCGGGCTCGGCTCGGGTCGGGTTTAATACCCACGTGCCCGGATCGGGTCGGGCTGTAATTTTTGGGCCCGATCTTACCTCTAGTGCAAGCATGTAAAACTCATTAATGCTGTATTTATTCAATCTCCAATTACTTTTTATTGAAATTGGAAACTGGAAAGGGCATAAAATATCCAAAGAAGCTGAAAAGTTTTGCAAAGATTGACTTCATAGTTTTATTCAAATAAAGCACAAATATGTGCGCACGGTCTTGATTCTAGCTCTATCATATCCAAGTGTCATAAGAAGATAATACCAAAAGCTTTCAGCTGAGCCTGCTTTTACAAAAATTGCTTTTGATTTGATCCAGCTAGATGGCGATGTTTCTTCAATGTAGTGTAATTTAGAAGTGGTAAGTTTTGTAATTTAACGGAATGGCCAAAACCGTATTCCTAATTATTTATTATTTAAATATGGAAGAAATTCCAAACTGTAAACAAATTGGTGCTTGGTTAGTGACAAACTTAGGTCTCAAAATCGACAATTCTCATATTCAAATATTTGAAAATTTTCCCAAAATCAAAGAATATACTAAATCGAATATAATAAACCTCTGATATGTTCGAATATTCAATTCGTTTTGGACATCCTGATTTTAGGCTTTCTTTTTCATCAACTGCTTATACTATACAAAAGCAGTATGCTCGCCAGCTTTGCATTTTAAAGGAGTTTTTCATGATTTAGAGGGTGATAAATATTTTGCAATTGGCCTTAAAACTATTTACAACCAATCAGGGATGGACAATATACAATAGGGAATTCGGAGGATTCGAATCCAAAAGGATCCGATAACAAGATTCGGTTTCCGCCTCTTTGGCGCTGTGCGTTAATTTTTGTATTTCGGATCTCTAATTTATTATTCGGTGGCGACCGTTTTCTCTCGCGACGAAATCTCCCTCGCTTTATTAAACTTGTGTTTTTTCGCAAAGAATCAGCAAAAGCGACAGACATCAGACACAGTAATCTCAGCTTGCATATTCAGAACGCAAAGACGGTGTGCACCTTTTTCACGTTTTACAATTTGACTATCTACTTCGCCTATAATAATATTTATTATTGGTGCATGCTGTAGACTTACTGGCGATTTTCCGATTACAACAATTTCAAATTTTTGGAATTCGTGGAACATTCTTCATTTTGATTTAAATGACTTTTCGCGGCCTCCAAGTTCTTCCGGAAAATGATTTGTACCAGACGTTAGAATAGATGATAAACATTTTTTACGAATAATTTATATCAAATTTTACTTTCCACGACACCCCGTTTCCGGAAATACGAAGTTAAATCGCAAAACAAGGCGTTGCATTACATTCATTTTGCATTCCCAATAAAATATATATTTTCCGTAATTGAAGTCGTCGATGAATCCATTTCTATTAGTATTAAAGTGTATAATGCGCTATTTATTTCAACACATAAGTATTTAGAGATCACATAAAATCGAAGTAAAAAGAAATTTGTTAGAATTCTTATATTTTATTGTCGTATTTGGTAAGGAATTAAATCCAATGCTCAAGGTATTTTTAAATTAAATACAAAGGTAGTAGTACAATTTTGCGTTTTTTGAATTGTAATCCATAAATATGGTGGGAGAAATTCCACATTTGAATAACAATGAAAATAGAATAGGATTCGGTACTCTGGATTTGATTCAAGTATTCTAGAATAGCAAATTATTCTATATTGCCCATTCCTACAACCAATGAAAACTGTTTTATGTGTTTGACTGACCATCTACACTGGTACATTCAACACTTTCTGGATATTCAAATACAATTATATTCAAGTTAGAAATTAAGAGCCTGATGTCGGTTTCGTTCTTGAAAAATGAGGTTGTTTGGGCAATCACGCAATGGATATAAGTGGAAACAATTGTTTTTGACTTTGACTTTTGAAAAAAAAAATCAAGGGTATTACCGTGTTCCCTCGAAAATAGAACCTAGCCTAAATTTGTAAAATTATTTCAATATAAGACCTCCCTTTAAAATAGGACCTAGTCGATAGCGCGACCTAGCAGGAAACACGGTATCTGATGAAACATCAACGAATTTTCTCGAGATAAGATTAGTAGTATTCTTTTGGCTACAGCTACACTCTTACGTAACATAGACCTCCTGTGCCACCTTTTCTTCATGAAGTTGTAGAATGCATGCTAGTTATACTTGCTTGTTTAACTTATTGGTGTAATTTTAATTCGAAATCTACATATGCTTGTGAGTCTCTGTTTTTCATTATTAGTAGTCCGACTGTTGAAACTAATAGCCTAGTGTATTTCTCTGAAGGTTACAAAATATAAACGCAATTAGAAATCTCTGTCAGTGGTCTCAGAAGTCTCACTGATACAGCATTAGAAAAGTAATCAAATTTTTTTGTCGGACTAACATTTTATTGAAAAATAACTTGATACATGTTTAAACGGTTTATTATCGTGCATTGGTGGAAAGTGTTGGTTGGAAAGCAGCAAAGCATTGTTAAAGGTGAATGAATTTTAGGTATATTGCGTTTTCACGGTTTGGGAGGATTTTTTTTCCTCCATGCTCTTTACATATACTTTTAATTTTGAAATGTCAGTCGTATGTTCTCACAAATTTCGACTGGCACGCGGAAGAATTTTGTTATTGAATTAAGTCGATTTGGGCACGCAAGCCGAAAAGAACCACCCCTGACCTAGGGTGTAACAGATCATATCAAATGGGTCAGTTTAATAATATTTCAAGCTCTTAAGGTCTATGTTACAACATTAACACCGTATTATATAGAATGCTATTGTTGCAATTGATCGAGCTGTGGGCAGTGACATTATGGACTTATGGGTCCTAAAAATCTTGCCTCCCCTTGCCATTTCCTTCATTATATTCATGCTGAAGAGTGACATCATTGTTGCCATCATTATACGTAACGTAAAGCTTCTTTCGGTTAACTGATGAAATGACGTGAAAACTCCATAGAGCTTCATCGTCTTTCGACTTTCCATCGTTCAAGAACACCTGGACGAAGTTTTACCGGAATATTATCATTCAAAGCTCTATTACTTGAAATCCATTTCCTGCCTTCTTTGTCCCTGATTTCTAGGCTAATTTAAGATAAAACTTTGCTGTCGTTTTCTTCACGAGCTTTCCAAATCTTCAGATACCATTTTATTTTCACCATTAAGGGCCTAAAAACATTGATGATAGTAACTGTGATACCAGACAGTTGAAATAAAAACAACTACGATACTGCTGGACCCATGAAATCTACAGCCTCTATCAGTGGCGTAGCATTCACGGGGGGGGCAAGCGGTTAGAATTTAAAAATTTGAGCCGCAAAACCATAAGCTGCATTGCAAAACCCGTAACGTACAGTCGTCGATTTTCTGCGTCTTGTGGTTTGATCGCACCGGCAAAATTACGAAGGCTGTCAGAATGATGTCGAAAGCAAAACCTCTCAGTGGCGCACAGAAACGCAGAAGCACGTATGAAAAAAATCAAAGCAACGGAGATAAACGGCAAATTTTAGGTTACCATTGCCTTTTAATAGCGACATGTTATGCTTTTTGACGAAATGGCCACTAGCCTCTATATATGTCGAATCAAGTATGGGAATACAGACAATTTGTATATAACTGAGATACTTGACTATTACTTAGGACAGACAGGAAATTAACTGGCTTCAACCGCGGTTCAAGCAAATGATTCAATTGACTCATCACTTACTAAAGTTTTCTACCTTAGTCAATCATCCGGCTTCCGTTATTAAGTGATTCAGAAAATAACAATGCCTTTACAATACTCATTATAAAATTACGATACAATGCTACTGTTGACTAGAATTTTTTTTTAGCCAATATTTGAAGATGGTATAAATAGACGACTATCATTTACTTTTTACAAATAAAAAAAAATCGAGTCTTATAATACACGATATCTCACCAGAAATTTTGCTGTTTCATTTAAATTATTCGAGAGCACTTTTTTCTGTATCGTTTGTTCGTCGATCTTATCAGCAAACCTAGTGATATCAGTGTTGATGCATGACGTCTGTGATCGTATATATTTGAGCATCATCTCCGCTACATCGTTAACTGTTTACAGGCAACTTTTGTTTTCGTAACGATATCAGAACAATTTAAGCCACTACCACGAAGACACTGACAATGCACCTGTGTTGTTGTTTGACATAAGGTATGTAATTGACAATTCTATAAATAGCCACAAGTGAAGATTTCAAAAGCACTTGTCATTCTTGACAAAGATTTAAAGAAGTCAAGTTTTTCAAACAGCATAAATGTATATATATATATATATATTCGCAAGACTTCCAAAAGAAGATAATTGGCATTTACATAATGAAGCTATATTTCCATTAATATCAACACTATACACGCCATATAGGCGTGAACACACTTCTAGAACTTCAAATATAACAATATCTGAAATGTTACAATAGGACACACGTTTAGTGGTTTGGCTCTCATTTACAGGGTGACCCCAGAAATAAATTTCTAATAAAAAGAACATGAAGAAATTTATTTTAAATGTGAACTTCTGTTTGTGTATGATTTTGTAACGATGTAATTAAACACTGGTGCACATGTGTTGCTGTTCGAAGAGATAAACAAAGATTTTTCAAACTATATCAATCAATCGTCAAATTTTTTCATGTTAAATAATCCTTCATATTTCCATTGAAACTTTCTTGATTTGCTGCATTATTTTTGCATATAGGTTCAATTTTGTATTTTATGCAAAATAACATTAAATAATGACGCAATAGTTTTTGTCTTTAATTTCCTTTGAAACAATAAGCTATAACGATCAAGTGTTGTTTCTTGTTTGGACCATACACAAGGGCTAACAATACCGGCTACATGATTACTAATTGCTATGGGGCAAGTTCTGAATATGTTTATGAAACAGGAAATTTTTTTATTTTTAAACTAAAAATAAGACATTTTATATTGATCTACTCCTTTGTCTGCTTTACTTCTATTGGGTAATATGGAAAAATGATGGTTTTGTTTTTGTATTTCCAGACCATTCTTGTCCCGACTATTTTCCAAAAAGTAGAATTCTTCTCTGTTGCTGAATAGTAAAGATCGCCACTTTTCTCTGGGGCGACTACGTATCCATTATTAGATTTGCATTTTAAGCTCATTACACTTCCAATCCGATGCACTGTAAAATCCCTGAAAACAAATGAATATGGTTTAAAAATAAAATTACGAAAGCTTCCTTCATCACTACCAGACTTTCCTATTGGCAGGAAAACACCTAACTAGCGTAATACATATTTGGAATTTTGAGGGTGAAACGAATTCGGCACCTACACGAACATGATTGATGCAGTAACGTAAAGCCTTGCTTGAAAATGAAGAAATCGTCATAATGCAAACCTACTGGGTTATAGTTGATTGGGCACTGATAGACGCGAAAGTGCTTTTTTCAAGTTTGTACTGCAATTATCATATTAATTAGTTTCTCGGGACGTGAAAGAAGGCACTTCGCCGTTTACTTCCCGATGGGCGACAGACCGGACAGGAGTTTTGAGTTGAGTTTTGTCTGTTTATGCCAGCCAGGATATATTTTAAAGCTTTTCAATTAGGGTCACAGTGAATATAGACGTGATATTTTGTCGATTAGAGTGACATTCAAGTAAGAAATGAATGGCTTTTGACATATAGGCCTGAGTTCACTGCATCAATTCTTTTGTATACATTAATTCGCTTCAATATTATACAAATTTTAATTACAAAATTAGCCGTTTTGCCTGGTTCAGATCACAGAGAAAGCAGTGCTTTGTCTAGAAAGCACTTTTTATCTCGCAGTTGATGAATGATACTTACGCTGGGGCTGATCCAAACAATAGTTGACTGTTTGCATAAAAATTTCCGGCTGAAAATTCACAACTCAGATCACTGTCAGGGCTGAGCTGCCATTCCTGCAAAGTGCTGGTTTGTTGGACTTGGATTGGTGCGTTTATTCGTGCATCTTGGCACACCCATTTATTTGAAATGGTATCATTTTCAATTTCAACAAAATAGGAAGACAGCACACTGTAAAAATATGTAAATTAATATTTAATATTCAAATTAATATTTACTGGGAATATTATGAGAATTCGTTTATTCAGCAAGCATTTCCATGCTGCACGTTATCAATATTCTTGATTATATCAACTTTCAAAAAGTAAATGACGTACGCTGTAATATCTTCGAAAGAAGGTGTAATGAACCATTCCATATCATCAGTAGGATTTTCAGATGTTGTCATTTCTAACTTTTCTTCGCTGTTACGTAAGTATCTATCACGTGAATTTTGAGCCCGCAGAAACATCCCAAAGTTTGGTTGAGGTAGCATATAAAAAAATCTACAAAAAATGTAAAGTTACAATGTAAATAGTTTTCTGCAATATGTTGAGTCAACCCGAATTAGTATAAAACAGACATCTCGAGACTAAATCCCTTTGTTTGAATTATTTAAAGCACGGTTTGTAAGAAATGCAATTGGGTGAAATGATTTTTTTTTAACTCGGAAGCACGCTACTTGGAACTACAAGTTCAATAGATGCTGGACACTTTTTGTTTTCGTTTTCTCATAAATATTAATTATTTAGAGTATGTTAATGTCAGACAATTGTTTTTATCTACGGAGAGTTGCCTAAATTTTAGAGGATAAAATTTGCGGTACAAGACTACCATGGGATCCATGTGTTGAGTTGTCTGAAGTATTATGAGTATCAATATACTTGAATAGGGAAGTAGAATATCTGAATTAATGATTAAAATTGTCAAAATTTTGAATGAAAATGGCAATAAATCTGAAATATTCATCGCGCTAGGCAAAAATGAACTCACACGGGAAACCTAACTGGAGTTTTTGAGTGAAGATTATACTCATGTTCTCAACAATTATACTATCCAGTCAGTTTGACTCTCAATTGCGTAAGGCATAAATGAAATATTTATAATTCCTAGTTTATACTTAAAAAGTGTCAATACATTTATGAATCTAAATTTGCTTTACCTTCCTTTTCCGTTGTTCTGCGTGATGTCATCTAACTCTTCTAGAGTAACGTCATCGCTGTTGAAGTTATATGTGACGTACATCTTTTTTCCGTCATCTAATAAAATGTAAAAACTCCACAAGGCTTCATTATTTAATCTCACAAGCCCCCAACCTTCCGTTACGCTGGGATTTAGTTGTACAGGTATATTGTCATGCAATGATCTGTTTTGTGATATCCATTTTCTTCCGTCTCTGTCACCTATTTCAAACTTGAAGTTGATCGGATCGTTATCATTTGGTATTCCTGCACAATGTGATTGCATAATCACAATATTCTTTACACAGATGTACCTACAGATTATGATTTCTGATCAAATTTTTAGAATATATATATAGAGTATGAGGTCATATAAAAATAATCATACTAAGCACAAATGTGAACTGTTCTTAGAGAGCCTCTATGATGTATGTTGCTTTGTACGACATTGACCCATGTACTAGTGATAGTCGAGAGTTTTTGTGTGTGTGTGTGTTTTTTTTTTCAATATCCTTCAACAAAGGAAAACTGAGTAACTACAAGATGAAAATGAATGCCAATTAAAACTCAGCGTAGATTTTCCCTGATCTAACGCTGTTGTGATTATGACGCATTAATGTGAATTGCACAGCTTTTCAACCAAAGTGTGAAATCTCAAAAGACAATGTCATGCGAGCATTGCAGAAAGTGATATGCATCGAAACTTGAGAGAGATCCCAAGAATTCCTTAGTTGGGGGGAGGACAAGGACAATAACATCGACACGAATATTTAATTTAGTTACAGCAGTTGGTCAATGAATTGTCGTTGCAACAAATTGTCAGTCAATATATCAGAACATTGTTTGGTGTCTGATTACTGCATGGGGGTTCGCGTTGATTGTTTCGTGACTCGGGGGTACTTAACAGAAAGAAGGTTGAAAACCCCTGATTTAAAAGATCAAACGAACTTTGAAAATGGTCAATTTCTCATAACGATCGCGATCGACTGATCGGTAATAAGGTCCTACACAAAAACGAATGGGCACTAAATGTGCTAATAACTGCACACACGCATACACAAAATTTCACCGCTGCCAATAAGAACTTTGTGGGCACATTATTATTAAAAGGATGCAAGCAAATTAAATGTGAAAGGAATCTTTATTCTAAGTGAAGTAGCCTCGCCTTATTTGTATGTAATGAAGATTTATGTATACAACACCAGAAAAATTCACAAGTCACTGTTTTAAAAACTGACGCTTCACCGCGAGTTAAAACAAGATTGCTCCCTAAATCGAAATAATCAGGTGAATGGGGCCTAAGTACAGATATCAGTATGCTGCGCAGTTACTTGGGTTTTGAAATTCCATCGTCAAAATCAAGCGCCTCGTGTTCACTGAATGCAAAAGTCAAACTACATGTTCACGATCAAGCCCTATTGCAATTAGCCTGCTGCAAATATTTTGAATTAGCTGTAATCTTCATCTATCTCGGTGGTTATCATATTTTCATTTACCGGCACCCTTTTACAGCACTCTATATATTATCATCAATCCCCAGAAATAAACAAAATATTGAACTCATGAACAAATTTATGATAAATCCCATTAAAAACGAGTAGATGAATCATACATAAATCGTGAAGTTTTTAAATGAGACAAGCGAGCTTGAGATCTTGAGCCAAATTTTGAATTTTTGGAGATTTTTTTGTCCAAAACGTTTTCAAATCACTCCGTTTGCCGAGAGAAAGGCGTTTTCTTTGTTTCGATAGTAATTGCGTCGCGGATAAAAATTTACTAAATAAGATGCGGGAATGAAATAATCCATGGTTCTACTTTAAAATGAGCGGTTTTGCCAAATGATTTGCACACAAATATATCATTTACTGTATATCTTTTGCAAAATTCATTTTGGTTTCGCCGAAATCCTAAAGTTTCAGAAATGCGCTACCGCCCTCGCGGGTTTCGCTCCCTAATTTGCCTCTTTCTTCACCCAGGGGGTAATTTCATATCTGGAAACAGAACTATCAACATCATTAGGTTGTGAAACATAACAAGATGTTTTTTCGTCATTGGAAACAGTCGTAAAAGATAATATTACATCGTGTAAATATGCAACTATCCCGTCTCGACTCTATTCTATTCATTGCCCAAAAAATACACTCTTTAGGGACTCAACCTGCACGCGAATGAATCGCGTGACAATCGTCATACGTTCGAAAAAAAGTGAGGAGGAGTAATGTGCAAAAGATAATATTATTTAACGGAAATATGCAACTATATCCTGTCTCGACTCTATTCTATTTATTGCCCACAATATATAATCATCTTTATGGAATCAACCTGCACGCGAATGAATCGCGTTACAATTGTCATATACTCGAAGAATAAGCTAGGAGCTATTTCGGGGCTCCCGAAGTATGCGAACCAAGATGGCGGACATCGAAATGTAATATGTGTACTAGGTTAGGGTTAGGCCATAATTTTAGGTATAAATACTACAGGAGGCTCTTGGCTAGTCTTCGAACTGATAATAGGACTAAAATAAGGAAAATTGGAAAAAAATTTATCGCCTAACCCTAACCTGTGACCCATGTTACGTTTCGATGTCCGCCATCTTGGTTCGCATACTTCGGGAGCACCGCTATTTCGGCTTAATTGTTTCATGTATATAAATCACAACATTGTAGTACAAATGAGCATCACAACGATGAAATATTGTTTATACTTTAGTTGATTCAAATAGTAGTTTTTTCACTTCCTGCATATTGGATATTTTGCGATTGCGCTATAAATATTGCGATATTTATAAAATGAATGAAAATGAGATTTTATCCTAAATAAAGAAATAAATTGAAAATGTGAAATCATATATATAACACGTCAATATAAAGAAAAAGTACGGCTTATCTAACGGAGCCATCCCCTCAAAGAAATATAAAAAATGCATAAAAAATGACAAATATAAAACTGTAGATGGGCTTGATCAAATTATTAGATTAAATTGGAAATGATCAAACTAATAAATCTCCGCAGAAAGGTGTTGCAATAACTGCAAATTAAAATTGAGATAACTAAGACAAGCGGTATACACTAATAAATATATGGCATATATGTGGCCCCAAGCTCATCGCCGTAAGTTTGTGGAGGCATGTGGTGGAGAAAGAATGAAATACAAACAAACCAATTTGGGCCGCTGGATCAGTGGACTTCATTTTATTTATTTTTATATATATATTCATTATTATATAAAACACAGTTGATCGGTACATCTACAATAACTACAACATTATTAATCACTAATCATAGAGAGTACATAACCGCAATTCATCATATAAAATAATCAATTAATGTGCATACATCATAAAATTTTCCATTTTTATCATATTACTTTATTTTACCATTTTTATATGCAATGAACCGTTCAATTTCCCTTACTTCATACAGGATGGAAGTGCTTAACCAATACTGTTTTCAAGCAATGCTTGAAGGAAAATTGAGCTCAAATTCATATGTTCTAAACTAAAGCATTTACATTTAACATTCATTCGAAATGTATTTAAAAACTGGTATTTCTGTAAAAATTTGCTTTTTGATTAAAAAATGTCAACTTTTGATCAACCTATATGGTAGAAAAAAAGTATTTCATATGCCAGAAAACAATTTTTTATCAAATCTTGGTATGGACATGGTATAAAAGCAGTAAGACACTTAGCAAATGTGGGTAGTTTGTTTACTTATAGAGAGTTGACTAAAAAATATGGCATGCAATATAGTGATGAAGAGTATGTAAATTATTATCGCATCACTGGAGTTTTACCTGATGATTGGTTATGCAATATTGGAAACTGTATTTATTCTAGTGTATTGAGTGACCCTGAAGAGAACATATATCATTTTATTTCTGAAACATTTGAATCAGGAAAAGGGAATAAAAGTAAATATGAAAAGTTGAACCTGATCAAATTTATATCCCCTGATGAATCGAGAAAAAATGGGCAAATCTGATTTTTTTAGAGAGTGATTTTAGTTGGAATAAATTGTATATGGATATCCTTTATTGTACTATTGAAACTAAATTGCAAGATGTTCCATGGTGCCATAGTACTAAACGATAGATGGCATAAATTTAAACTTGTTTCATCAGAGTTATGTAAATTCTGTCATTCTAACGTTGAAAATCCTAACCATTTTTTCTATGACTGTATAGTTGTGCTACAGTATTGGGAATCTCTGAACATGTGGATATATTCAAAAACTGGGATCAATTTTAACTTTTCAGTGGACTTCATTTAATGAGCGAAGGGCTCAAACGACTCAGGGAAACCACTAGTGGGAATCAACCGGCCGGGCCAATATAATTACGAAACACTCACGCGAACTCGCAAACACATCAATACATGCCAAAGAGGAAGAATAAGATAAGACAAAGTAGAATGAAGTGTCAAGAAAGAGAGCGACGTCAGAAGTCCGCACCAGGCCCTCCCGATGCAATGGGAAACCCCGGGTGGAGTCCCTAACGCAGTTACGGGAGACCGCCGTAGCGGCACCCCCTGCCACACTCAACGCACGAATAGCTGTCTGGTTCCCCGCGGCATAACTGCCAAGGGAACCAACCACAAATGCGTGGAACTCCACCATCTTGCCAGTGACAAGACCAATTGAGCAACATAACTCTTCATACTTTGAGTGCTTCTGTCGGGCCGCATCATCTATGTCACCCTCATCGTTGTCAAATGGGCACACCACATCGAGAACTACGACCCGAGATGTATCGATTTCCTTAGAAATCAAGTCGGGCCACAGCATCTAGCTGTTCTCGCGATGCGCTCTCGACGAACTACGTTGACATCGCGTTTAGAAAACCTAGCTGGAGGTAGGTGAGCCAAGATCTTCTCCTGCACTGAATCATGCTTCACCTTGATAGTATTTATCATCGGGCGTCATTGATTCAGCACATGGAGAAGAGTCTCGTTTGCGTAACCACATTTACTACAAGTCGCCCATGGTTCCGCATATTCCGGTAACCACCTGCGAATGGACCGCAGCGGCAGAAGATTTAATCGAGCTTTCAAAACCTACGAAATCTCGAACTGTGCGAGAGAGGCAGAAGCGGACAGAAAATGGTTTAAGCAACTAAACCGGGAATGACAGAAAACTGTCTTTCCTTAGTCCCACAGTTCGTCCACCGACTCAACCAACGGGTGTTGGACACATGGTGCAACACCCGAGTTATTTTCTTGCCTCTCTCGATCGGGAAATTGTTAGTGGTTATCGTAAAACTCCCTTCCGAGGGGATACCCCAGCAAAGGCCGATACGGCGACTCATAGGGCGCAGTTGGCCCCAAAGATCACCAAACAGGCCGATGCGTCGCCCATCTGGCTCAGAGGAGTTTTCACAATTGAGAAAGACAATTTTCAGAGCCCGTGTCGTCTCCGGGACTCGGTAAAGCTTTGGCAAAATCTCGTCCAGCTTCACGTGCAACATTCGAGACGCCCAGACCCCCGGCCGCAGCCGTGGAGTGGAAAAACGGCTGACAGCTCCAGTCTGGTAACCAGAAAATGGTTCTTATCAGACGGCGGATGCTAACATTTAGCCACTCGAGATCGCGCCCACGGAAATACCAAATTCGTAGTTAGAAGAAGAGTCTTGGTAGAACAAACCTCTTCAGCACCAACAGCTGTTGGAACCGAGCGATATCAGAAGATCCTCCAAATATAGATTAAAATTTAATTCAAAACATCACTCTGTCCGACGATCCGGTACCCCATGCTCTTGTCGACTTATCTCCAGAAGTCATCCCGGCTGAGAACAGCAACCTTGCCATTATTGAGATAGAAAATCTCACTGCCCCTGACCATCGTGCCTTCCGAAGGAACCAAGGTAAGAAAACGGCATTTGGTTGAATGGTTTGAATTGCATTCCGGACCATCGCGCAAACTCTTCACGTATTGAGAGTTGCACCTCCAGCTGTTGTTGCGACGACGCACACAGAGCAGAACCCTATGCGTAGCCCTGGCCGTTGATGGTCACATCCGGCGCACATCGCAACTGGTAACTGACGTCCGACAAACCTTTGACCCCCCGGGAGAACTTCCATCACCATGTAAAAACTGATTGCCAAGCGAGACCATTCTTGATGGACTCTCCTACAAGATGGAATAGGGGACATGTCGCCATCGATAGTTTGAATGGTGAACACATTATCCCTGTAAACGTCAACATCCATTTCCAACATAAGGTTGCAGGACTCCGAGAATGGCACCATGCCCTCCCGACCCAAAAGCAGTACGCTAATGTTTTCTGGCATCCGCAGTGACCGAATCAAGCATGAAAACATGCTCGAAGACGCTTTCGAAAGAAACGAAGCCCTTCTGTTCTGGAGAAATCACCTTTTTCCTAGCTGCCCAAGACTCAAGACGACGAGCAATCACGGCTGCATAGATTTTATACAGCGTGAGGCAGATCGCAATGGGTCTCCAGTTCCCGACGCCATTTATATTGTCCTTCAGGTCCTTAGGAATAAGGGTTATCCTAGAGCAGGGGTCGGCAAACTGCGGTCCGCGGGCCAAATGCGCCCTCGAACGACCCGACTTTTAATGCATAAAACAAAGTTGATATTAAATCTATTATTGTCTTAATTAGGATTTATAGGTTGTGAGTATAACTTAAGTCTATAATAATTTTTAATATTTAAATGTTTGGGAAACGGAGGGGAATTTGCGAAAAGAGTCGAACATTCCAAAGTGCTTGAAGGGAAAAATATTTTTCATTCTTACGCATTTCAAAACCAGTTTGCTTGATATGCCAAATCAGCATCGTAGTTATTAAGGGGTTTAATGTTAATTATCATTATGAAACGTGTCTTCGACAATACGAAATTTACGACGTACCGCGGGACAACAAAGTTGGCATATGATTTTGACGGTGACCGTACATTTGAACCCACGTACATTTAAATCCATGCGTACATCCACGGGTTCAATCTATATGCGGGTTCTAAAACCCATGGGTTAGGGTTAATATGGGTTTAACTATCCGTGAAAATCCGTGAAAAAAAAATTCCATAGGTGCAATAGCATACAGGTGCAATTGTCATGGGTTCAAATGTACGTGGGTTCAAATGTAATGGAACCGATTTTGACGCTTCGGCCATGACACAGAAACAACACCATCCTTCACCTTGATAGTAAGTGAATAAGAACAATGTATTGCTTGATAATACATTGAAAAAGGCCACATACACGTCCAATTGTGGCAGGCTTTCACACAGTAATAGAAGTACAAGTGCCCCATGATTTTGAAGTTCAATGTTCGCAAGCGGGATGTTTATAGTTGGCCTGCGAGTACATGAAGTTTGCCGATTCCTGTCCTAGAGGAACGCCCTGAACTTAAAATACGTCGAGAACTTCTGCAGATTTCGAAGAGCTTGAAGAGAATTTCACCTCGTTGATCAATTTTTTCTCCAAAATTCATAGGTGAACCATATGGTTTCGGACCCCCTCTGGTCCCGGGGAAGTGCCGATTAAAATCGATAAGTAAAAACGGTGCAATAACGCCGTCTTCGCGTTCTGAATATTCAAGCTGGGATTACCGTGTTTGATATCTGCCGCAAACGCGTTTGCGGGCTCTTTGCGAGAAAACACAAATACTGTATAATCATGCGAGACAGATTTATCACGCGTACCGAACCGGCCGTGAGCTAACTATATTCAGTAAACTATGCTCGGTGCGGGTTCAGTTGATCGTCGTCATGTTTTGTATTTATGCTTCCAAGCATACTTCATGCGGCTTCTTGTTTTTGGCCTGTTTTATCGTGTATGTTGGTACTCAGTGCTCCTGATATTAATGCAAAAAGAACTGACGAAGAAATAGCGAAGGAGATGATGATAATGAAAGGGAGCAAAAATGAATATATCAAGGGACATTTCATAATTATGCAGCTATAGGTAACAAAATCAGTTTTTATAGGACTGTCAGTGTGTTGTTTGACAGTTTGGGACCTTGTCTGTTCGGAGTTTGTTCCATGTAGTCTACATGCTGACATATAACATAGCTAGCCTATATAGGAATTGAGGCTCGTGTATTGTAATGGTATGCAGTGAAAAGTGCGAAAACTCAATAACTTCAAACATAGAAATAGCCTATGTGTACCCAGATCGACAAAAAAAAAGTCATGTCACATATTTTAATGAAGGGATTTTATTTTCAAAATATGGCATTCTGAAATGCATATCATTATAGTAATCATATAGCGGAGTTAATGACTTCATACCTAAATTTTTTACAGATAGGAAGTATACTTGTCTGTAGGTTCTGTTAAGTGTCATTAATGTCAAATTGCTGATTTCCACAAATGGTATTACAGTATACAACCAACTGTATACCCGCACATCATTGATTCACCAACAAAGTTTAAGCATTAAATTACAGCATTTAAAAGCAATAAAAAATGACTTGACTTGATTTGACCCAGCTAAATAGTGATGCTTCTGCAATGTAGTATAATTTAGAAGATAAGTGCTAAGTTTTGTATTTCATCGGAATGGCCAACACTGTATACTTATCTATTCAGAATAAGCTCTGAAAGAATATTTTAAATATGGAATATATATATTCCAAACTGTAAACAAATTGGTGCTTGGTTGGTGCCAAATTTAGGGCTCAAAATCAACAATTTTCAAATTAAATCATTTGAAAATTTTCCTAATCAAAGAAACTACTATATCGAATATAATAAACCTCTAATATGTTTGAACATTCAATTTGTTTTGTAATCGAATTTAGTCGATTTTGGCACGCAAATCGAAAAAGGTTGCCTACCCCTCCCGCAGGGTGTAACAGATCGTATCAAAGAGGTCAGGTTCATAATATTTCAAGCTCTTAAGGTCCATGTTACAACATTAACACCGTTTATTTGGAAAGCTATTGTTGCAATTGATCGAGCTGTTGACATTGATATAAGTCATACAAAATCGGGCCCCCTAGATAAAAGAGAGCACTATTTCTTTTATTGCTTGTTCGTCGATCTTTTCAGCAAACCCAGTGATAAGTGATATCAGTGCTGATGCGTGTTTTTCTTGGTCGTTTATATTTGAGCATTATTTCCGCCATATCGTTAACTATTCAAAGGCAATTTTTGTTTTCATCACAAGTTCGAAACAATGTTCTACTATCAATAAGACACTGGCAATGCGCCTGTGTTGTGTTTTTTATATGAGATATGATAATATATAATTGACAATTCTACAAATACCCACAGATGAAGATTTTGAAAGCACTTGACAAAGATAATTTCCATATATATATATGCTGATGCCATTGCTGAAGCTATATTTTCATCAATATCAGCACTATACCCTCCATATCTGCGTGAACACACTTCTAGAACCTCAAACATACCAATAACATACTAAGATGTAACAATAGGACACACGTTTGAGGGGTTTATCTCTCATTTACAGGGTGACCCCAGAAACAACTTATCAATACACTATGTACCAATACCTAAAGTTGTGGAATCGGTCGTCAAATTGTTCATATTTTCAATAAAACTATTTGGATTAGTTGCATTATTTTTTCATATAGCTTCAATTTTGTATTTTATGCAATGTAAAATCACATTAAATCATGACTTCGCACTTTTTGTCATTAAATTCCATTGAAACAATGCGCTATAACAATCAAGTGTTGTTTCTTGTTTGGACAATGGCTGGCAATATAGACTGCCGCTACACGATTACTAAGTACGTCACGATGGCAAGTTCTGAATTTGTTTTTGAAACAGGGTAATTTTATATTTTTTAAACTAAAAATAAAACAGTTTTAATTGATGAGTTCATCTACTTCTTTGCCTGCGTTACTTCTATTGGGTAATATGGAAACACGGTGGTTTTGTCGTTGTGTTTCCAGGCAATTCTTGTCCCCACTATGTCCCAAGCAGAAGAATTCATTTCGTTTGCTGAATAGTAAAGATCGCCGTTTCCCTCTGGGGCAACTACATATTTATTTTTAGAATTGCATTTTAAATGCACACCTCTTCCAATCTGATGCACTGTGAAATCCCTAAAAATAATAATAAATGTGGAGTTTGAAAATAAAAATTATAAACGTTTCCGTTTTCATTATCAAACTTTCATAGGCAGAAAAACTCTAGTAATACATATTTGTGATTTTGAGTGTGAAAATGAACGGCATCTACACGAACAAGATTGATGCAGTGGAGCCTTACTTGAAAATGAGCAAACCCATTGGGTTATAGTTGATTGGGCATTGATAGGCGCGCGACAAGGTGGGTACATGGGAGGGATCTTTTTTAAGTTCGTACTGCAATTATCGTACTAATTGGTTTCTCGGGACGTGAAAGACTGTACTTCGCCGTTCAATCCCCGATGGGCGACCGACTGGACAGGAGTTTTTAGTTGAGTTTGTCTGCTTATGCCGTTTGGATATATTTTAAAATTTATCAAACAGGGTCACAGTGAATATGATGTTTTGCCGATTAGAATGACATTCAAATAAGAAATGAGTAGCTTTCGACATATAGGGCTGAGTTCATTGCACCAATTCTTCTCTTTTTACGTTAGGTCGCTTCAATATCATACAGATTTTTATTATTATTACAGAATTATGCGTTTTACCTTGTCTAGATTACAGATAAAGTTTAGAGTTTTAGTTTAAAGAGCACTTTTTGTCTCGCAGTGAATAAACGATACCTACGCTGGGGCTGATCCGAACAATAGTTGACTGTTTGCATACAAATTTCCGACTGAAAATTCGTAATTCAGATCAGGACCAAAGCTGAGCTGCCATTCCTGGTGCGTACTAGTTTGTTGGACTTGGATTGGTGCGTTTATTCGTGCATCTTGGCACATCCATTTTTGTGAACTAGTAGCATTTTGAATTTCAACGTAATGGGAAGAAAGCATACTGTAAAAATATGTAAATTAATATTAGAGATTTTGGTACTCCTGAAGTATTCGCACCAAGATGTCGCATAACCTAAACCCTAACCTGGTACACAACCTGAGTTCAGGTTGTGCGCCATCTTGGTGCACATACTTCAGGAAGTCCGAGATTTTTATATTTACTGGGAATATAATGAAACTCCTTCTATTCAGCAACCATTTCCATGTTGCGTTATCAAGATTCTTGATTATATCAACTTTCAAAAAGTAAAAATGACTCACATTGTGCTATCTTCGAACGAAGGCGTAATGAACCATTCCATATCATCAATAGGATTTTCAGATGTTGTCATTTCCAACATTCCTCCGCTATTACGTAGGTATCTATCACGTGCATTTTGAGCCCGCAGAAACATCCCGAAGTTTGGTTGAGGCAGCATATGAAAAAATCTACAGTTATAATTGGGCTTACCATATCTCTGAAGCAAAAATACGGGACAGTGCAAATTGAACAAGCCAACCTTTGTTCGATGCCGAGTATTATAGTAATAGTTAAAACTTTCTCGCTGCCATTTTGGGTAGATTATGGGCAACAAAATGAGCTGTAAATCCTATTGAAAAATACCCTCCATTGGATTTTGCTACAAATATTAGGATTCGTTCTTCAACTCGTTAGAAAACTTTCACTCTGTTGGTATAACAATAATATTGAGAATATTTGTGAGCATATCGCTGGAGGGAAATATTTTGAACCCCGACTGTTTGCATTAATACACAGGGCGCATTTTTTTTTTTTTGTTCTTGGGCGCAGAATTTTTGATCAATTAACACAAATAACTTGAAGTCTTTATTCATTACTTATCGATCTCGATCGATAAAGTATTTTTTATCTCAACTTACAGATACCATTCCTATTATATACAATCCAGTAATTCCCAACAAGAAGTTCATGTGTCCCGTGGATCGATCGGAATATTTTGGGGGTTCATGAGCTATAAAAACAAAACAGCGAAATTGATCCCATTTTTTATTGTGTTTTAGCTTTCATAAACACGATACAATAAACCAGATTACGAATTAACACAGAATCTAGCTCACGTGAACAAACATATATATAGTTATTGGCTTCAAAAACTTGTTCTATTTGGGTACTCCTGTAGTATGCGAAACAATGTGGCGGACACCGGTACGTAGTTTTTAATAGAAAGTCATACTCATTAGTTTAACGAATCATTAAACTAAGCCATGTTGACGGGCCAGTCAGTGCGTCTTGCGTGATGCAGAAATGAAAAGTTTATAATTTCTTGTTTTATACTTAAAAACTGTCAATAAATTTAAAAATCAGTATTTGCTTTACCTTCCTTTCCCGTTGTCCTGCGTGATCTCATCTAACTCTTCTAAAGTAACGCCATCGCTGTTGAAGTTATACGTAACGTACATCTTTTTTTCGTCTTCTGATAAAATGTAAAAACTCCACAAGGCTTCATTATCTAATTTCTCAAGCTCCCATCCTTCCGTTTTGTTGGGATTTAGCTGTACAGGTATATTGTCATGCAAGGATCTGTTTTGTGATATCCATTTTCTTCCGTTTCTGTCACCTATTTCAAGCTGGAAGTTCTGATCGTTTTCATTTGTTGTTCTCGCACAATATGATTGCATGATCACAATATTCTTTACACAGATGTGCTCACTAATTATGATTACTGATTAAATTTTGAGTATATTTGTGTATCATAAAATGTCACAGAGAAATAAACACACTAAGCACAAATTTGAGCTGTTCTTAAATAGCCCTTTATGATGTATGTTGCTATGTACTACATTAACCCACGTACTAGTGAGTTTATCATTCATTCAAAAGCTCAAACGATTTGAATATCCCAATCAAAGTTCATACTACGTACACAAAATTTGGTTCACGGTTGTTTTCGCAGAAATCAAATAATAAATTCAATTTGGAAATATATATAATAAACTGAAACTGCAGAGGTTTTGAATGCTTCGCCTGAAGGAGATATATATCAAAAATTGATTTCGAAATTCTAAAGTCTGGGAATAATTCTAAAAACTCTTCATTTCTAATTGCGAAACATTTTGACTAAGTTTTACGTTTACACAGATAAGCTATGCTAAGGATGCAAGCAAATTGAATGTGAAAGAATATTTATTCTCAGTGAGGTAGCTTTCGTCCTTTTTGTATGTATCAAAGATTTATGTATGCAACACCAGAAAGATGTATAAGTCCCTGTATTAAAAACTGACGCTACATCGTGAGTTAAAACAAGATTATTCCCTAAATCAAAATAATCGGATGAATGGGGCGGGGCCTAGCTACCGTAATTTCTGGCTCTAAAACTTACTTTCACCTAGAAGAATTCACTCACGTACTCGGTTCCATTAGATTCAATTATCGGGGTTTTCTTCGTACATCACATTAAAAGTTATATCTGTATATACAGAGAGGAGGTAGTTGAATCTTGATGAATGGGTGTTATTTCAGTAATCGAATACTATTGAAAACATCGCTTGTTATGAATACATGTGCGCTGACGCAATGGCGAGAACATTCGTTGACGCCACTTTGGCAATTTAGGATGGTAACGCAAACCTTCGAAGGCTGGAAAAATACTATCTCAGGCCCTACGTCTCAATTAATTTGATAGCGCGATTGCGAAATAGCCAATATCCAAAAAGTGAAGTACCGTATATTCTCGTTTTACCGCCCGATCTTCAATAATGGTCCGTTTGAATAGCCGCCTGTGTGAACAAAACATAAAAATAAATAAGGGCCGGTGCTTGAATACCCGCCCCATGTAAAAGCTGATTTTCCAATATGAAACAAGAGAGCAATGCTCAAATATATGGACACGCAGAACAATTCCCCAAAAATCATATGCGGTGACCAACGACTAACATACCGGCGGTGACTTACCAGTACCTGTATCGGGGTACCGTGACGGTACAGGGACTGTCATAGATATTTTAGGTCCTGTGACAATTGAAACATCAGTTGAAATATCTCGATATATGAGTCAATTATGTACCGTATTATCGGATCAGGTACCGAACCACAGTCAAACATTTCAGATAAAAACGTTACTAAATAACATGCGTCAACTTAACATCAGCCGAATCGGGGTACAATTTTTGGTACAGTGACTGTCATAGCCGTTTAGGGCTGATGTACAATTCGACTACACGGACAACTCACCAGGCCTAGGGTGGTGTAGCCAGTCTGCGGACAATTTCATTCAAACCGCTATAAAACAAAAACCAATATATCTAACCCGTTAATTTTTTCACCGTGGGTGCATTGGCGGCATTTATTCTACACGCTAAACCTCGTATTAACTTTCTACGACAAAGGGTTGAAGCTATACAAATCCCCAAAGTACGGCACTCGAAAGACGTATGCGACCGAACGACCAGTGTGCGACCACGGATTTCAAGCCTTGATCATCGTTTATGCTGCGTCGAGACCATCGCATACGCAGCCATACAGCAATCAAACAGACAAAACACGGTGGTCGCAAATTGGTTGACAATTGTTGGTCTTGTGACAGCGTGAAAACATTGGGCTTCTAATTGCATTTCTGACCGTCATATATTTCAAGAACACGGTTATTCCGAACAAAACTCGTTAAATTATAAACAAAGCACCACATCACAGCAATCAAACAGACGAAAACACGGTGGCCGTAAATTGGTTGACAAAGATATTATCGACGTATCGGAAATGCACACCCCCTATTCCCCCTCCTTCAAATGTAGAAACGCGAAACTTTCAAATATGGTTAAAAGAAACACAACTCTACCCACCTGCCAAGTTTCATCTTTTTATTTCTCATATTTGTATGGATTTTCAAGCTTTTGACAGCTACGAGTTAGTTCAGTGTCACCGCGCTGTGTTACGGTACCAGAACTCCTGTCTTGTGACAGCGTGAATTGAAATTGCAAGATGGTCCGTTGGACACAAAATGGCGTCCGATATCCGTAGAACGTTTAGTGACGTCATAGCAAACAAAAACAAATCTTACAGAGCTAACAGAAATATTTGAAATAAATAAAAGTAATAGCCCTCTGGAGAAAAATTTCATCTTCAACCATTGAAAATTTCAAAGCAATTAGTCCAGTAATCAAAGAGAAAAGCGACTTTTCAAAAACGTGTCAAAGAACAAGAACAAGAACAACAACATAATATTGAAACGATCGTTATGTCCACTACGTGTCCAATAAGGAGCGCTTTTGTCACAACGCTGTTGAATTCTAAGCGCTGGTAGATAACACTCACGTCTTAGGCGTCCAATTACCTACCAGATAGCATTGATTACGTGACACCGACACACCGTGGTTCTCAAACTGGTAGTGGCGACTCCCAAGTGCGTCTTTTCAATATTGATAGGGCGTCGCAAAACTTTTTTACTTTTGCGGATTTGTACTTGCGGTGCGTAGAAAAAGTCAAAATTTTCGTTATTCTGTTTAAATCATACTTGAGAACTGGAAATGACAATATTTTAATTATTGTAACCATCGATCTTATCTATATATATATATTTTTTTTATATTTTTGTGTATAATTTTACTTTAAAAATAACAATCGCCCGTGCTTGAATAAGATCCCGGTTAGTGAGTTTGGTTAAAAAAGTATGGGCCCGGGCAACAAAACGAGCAAATACGGTAATTGATATTCATCATGAGCATTACAGGTTACATCGATGAAATGTTGTTTATACCTTGGTTATTTCGAATATCAATTTCTTCACTTCCTAAATATTGGATATTTCGCGCTAACCAGTTAATTGGATGTTTACAAGTTTTTACTTTGACTCATTATAATTTTCAAAGAAATATGAATAGCCTATAGACATGAAAGCCAAAACAAAATATGTTATTCACAATTTCCCCGAAACCATATTCTGAACCAAGCTCAAACGGGCTGGCCATATCCATGGGTTTAGTGTAGTTTACTACCACAAGTACTTCTAGTGAGCGTGTCGTCAATATTCTTTTGCATATGTCATTTCACACCTCAACCTAACTGGGCCATCTAAAAAATATGTCACTACACCTGATTGCTTGTCGTACTCGCACCAAAACATTTCCGTTGAGCGAGCAACGATTTCGAATCAAAGAGGAGACAGCCATCACGCTTGGTGGGATACAAGAACCGTGCTTCGATGAGTAAAAATAGCGAAATTCAAGGTCAAATAACAGATCTCATAGAATTCACAAGAAATTCATGAATATTTAAATTTCTAGCGATAATAACAATTTTTGATAAAAAATTTCAAATCAATTGTAAAGTTGGAACGTGAATTCCAATCCACTCAACGTTGTTGCAGTGGAGTCCTATTTGCAGTCGCACCCGCCTTGAAGAATTATGCGCAATCTCCCAGCTTCTAGTAACTGCACAACCAAAGTAAAGAGGCAACGAGATCCTTAGAAAACGAACTGTATTCATCAATCTCCACATATGGGTAAAATGTTGCTACAGCACAGAAACTTGAAAACAAACGATAAAACTAATTTATAACGACACGGATGCACTATAAACGAGCAATGAAAGAATGACAAAATAGCATTCACAATGACAAGCTATAATAACCAATACTAAATAGGACCTAACTGAGCTAAATTAATATAACAGATTTCACGAAACCCGCACCCCTAATGTAAGCTATATCCAAGACAAATCTCAATACTAAACGACACTTTCGCAATCCCACAATGCCGTATACTATAGCCCAAAGTATCAGGGAAGCGTTATCTCAAAACCCGAGGAAAAAGGTTCACTCCCTATATCTTCACTATGGCGCAATAATGAGTCACCGTCAACAGGAAATAAAGATAATGAAGATACAACATAATTCGTCTGGGATTGTTAATATAATGGAGAAATATAAATGGACAAAAGTGTGAGGCGTGCGAGGTCAAATCTACAATTCCGGCCTCAGATAATTCAGACTTATAATTATCTCAATAAAACAGGTGATCAAAGTAGCCGAACACAAAACATATAAGTAAACCAAAAAAAAAAATGATGAATACGAAATTGTGCATGGAAAAATGTGAACAGTGTGAAATGTGGGGCTGGGAATTTCAGGGAAAACACTTTAACCGTTAACCGGGTAAAATTAACCGGTTAACCGCCGCGTGACGTTTGACGTAATAATTTATAATTTCAGCTTGTTACGTCACAATGCTTATAAAGCAATTTCGCGTGTTCTTATCCCGGTATCGCTTATTAAAATTATTCACGAATCGAGATAGTTTCATGATTACTCTGCTGCAAGAGATAGGCAGCGTGGTTCGGGCATGTGGAAGTATTTTAGAAAACCTGATTCCGTTGTTAAACGTCATTTATGTCACAAATTATCAGTGTTCGATGTGCAAATTTTACTTCGAGATATATCATATAAAGAAAAACGCCATCAACTACGCACTTGTTGTATGACATTGAATATCCGATTTTGCAATGAAATCGGAATAAATATTTCGAAATCGGAAAATATATTTCGAAATCGACCGGAAACTGATTCTGAATTCATCATTGTCAAATTTCCATAATCAGCAATCTTGGTACTTCCATTATGCACAGTCCTTACCCACACAGTTAATAATATTCATTAAATGCCACATAAGATAAATTTGAGATGACGTAATCATATTTGAAGAAATTGTACGGTATGAAGATGATTTGTACCTGAGATGTCAGTTAACGGTTAAAATAAATCGTAACCGTTAACCATCTGAAATCGGTTAACCGATTAACCATTCCCACTCCCCAGCCCTAGAGAAACAAAATGAAAAATCATCAATGAGGTATTTTAATCAAGTTCAAGTGAACATATCTTCCAAACATCACGCATGAAGGTAGATTTAGAGGTTCGTACCTTCACCTTACGCACAATGCCTAGTTTATCGGGATAAACCTCATCCACAACAGCCATTGGCCAACTACCACAGGGAAGTATGTCATCACACATAAGTACTAAGTTACCAGGCTTCAGGTTAGGGGAGGGATGAAACCACTTTGAGCGTTTCTGAAGCAGAGGTAAATATTCCCTAGTAAATCTCTGCCAAAATATATCCAACAACCGCTGGACATGACTATAGCCCTGTCTATACTCATCATCTCGCAGAAAAACATCAGGGGGTATATCAGGATCTAATTTACTTAGTAAAATAGAGTTAGGTGACAGGGCATGGAGGTCTCTGGGATCATTACTTACTCGGGTAAGGGGTCTGTCATTTAAGAGACCAAAGTGAATAATTTGTTAATGGTTTATCATCGAGCATATTCCTCAGAATCTTCTTAACTTCTCTGATCAATCTTTCAACAACTCCATTCTGGTGACTCGCAAGAGGTGGTGAAAAATGCCATTGAATTCCCTTTTGTGCAAGAGCATTGTCAATTTGTTTCTTATTCCAATTTGTAATTCCATCCTTGAGTGCTTTACTCCCAGCAATAGAATTCGTACCATTGTCAGAGTACATGTGAGCTGGTCTTGCACGTCGCGAGACAAAACGAAAAAAGCTTGTAAAAATGCAGAGGTATCCAAACTTTCTGCAACCTCCAGATGAATTGCTCGAGTAGAAAGACAAGTGAATATAACTCGGTAACGCTTATGTTCGTTTCTGCCCAACTTGACCTTTATAGGACGAAAATAATCAACGAAGCTGTGAAAGAATGGTCTATTCCCTGTACAAAGTCTAACAGCAGGCATATCTGAGATCCATTGTTTACCAGGTCTGGCAGATCGAATCTTGCATGGCAAGACTGAAGA